ATGAGGACACAATAAAAAAGAATTTGTTTTTTTAAATTTAGTAATGATTCTGTTCTTACATTTAATGGTATGGAAATGTCAGCATTTTGTAATTTATATGCTATACAAAATGCTATTATGTTCAATGATGCATATGATCGAAATATAATTAATTTCGATTCAGTTGTAGCTAATTTTAGGTATAATGAAAATTTTTTTTAAATGAATAAATGTGTCAAACTATGAATTGAATTCTATGTAATTGACATGAAGAGTTTATTAGACATCATGCATAGAAGATAAATGAACTAGTCAGAAAGATTTCGAATAGAGATATGCAGGAGTAGTTTTACAAGAAAGAAAAAAAAGAAGTTGTTCGAATCGGAACTAAAAATCCTAGTTAAGTTTTCTATGGTTTTGCAGTGAATACTTTTTGTACATTTGTTATCTCGGTAATAGAGCATCCATTTTGGGTGAAATTTCAGATTGCGATTTCTCGATTTGATCTTACTCGTAACATCCTGCAATAGACTGAAAACTCGAGAATAAGAGCTCAATATGAAGAATCCTTTAAGGATTTTTATCTAAACTGTGAGCTTGAATAGAATTTATCATTTGGCGAAGTTTCTTCGTAAGTCAGAGCTGACACGAGATCAGATTTAACAAGACTATGATGTAGACTACTGGAAAAAGGAGTTACCAAGATTAAAAAAACACTTGATGCTTTGTTTTCTTTTTCGTTATAAAGACTTGCCTAATACTATTCACAGTTGTAGATCTATAACGAAAATAATCCTAGTTTATTTTTTTTATCTTGAATAACGAACCATTAATCATTATCATAGATTAAATTCTAAATAATTTTGTGAGGTTAATTTTGGATTGTCTTATGTCATATAATATATGATAGTAATTCGTTATGAAACTCATGTTCATTCGAAAATCAAGATTAATAAAGACTTAAAGCATTTTTTTTTGTTATGTTCGAATTCTTTTTCTATGAAAAATCTTTAAAATGTATATTTTTTTCTTTTAGTCGTAATCAAGTATATAATAATACTGGTGTTAATATTATATCAATGATTGGTTTTGAAAAAATAACTGCACCATTTCCAGCTGTGGAAATGAATTCATTTCGAAATAATCGAGCTGTTGGTGAACTTAATCAACAATTATTTGATCGGTATGTTGTTTTTTTATATTATTATTTTAAATTTTAATAATTTTTTTTTTCTAATATTTAGAGCGGGTGCTGTTATTGAAATTGGTAATCCAAGACAATTATATATGTTTAATACATTTGATAATTGGGAAAGTCGATATGAAATGCGAACACAATCACGTCTTTTGTATGAAAAAGACATTTTTTTTTTAATATTGATAATCTAAATTTTATTGTTTAGTGAACCAAATCGAATGGAATCTCGATCAGTAAATGCATCATTAAATTTTTGGGGACGTATCGGTGATGTTGATGATATTGGTGCAAGAATTTATGATAAATTTGATAATAAAACCTTAATAGAAGTTAATTATTATCCACCATATCTTGATTCTACTCGTCTTCGACAAGGTTTTTATTATAAAAAAAAAAATTAATTTTTTATTCTTATTTCTGTTTTCAAAAGGTAAATGCGATCCAGGTTGGACACTTGATGATACATTATGTTATATGTATTTTGGTGCTATAACAACATATCGTATTGCACAAGAAATGTGTTCAAGTGTTGATGCACGAATAACACAACGTGATACACCACTTAATCGTCTTGTTATACTTCGTTCATTAGTACGAACATCACAATATCAAGGTATTAATAGTGATGCTGTACCATCATCGGGTATTTGGTTAAGAAAAGATAATAATGAATTTTGTCGAATATTTAATGATATGGAAACAATAGATGTTAGTTGTAGTTCAACAGCTGCATTTATTTGTGAAAAAGGTAATTAAATATTTTCAACTAAACTTGATTCTGATTGTTAAAATGATATAAAATTTCTGATTTAATGAAAAGTTTGAGATATACGAAAAACAAACATTTTGTTTTGAAATCGCACGATGGAACTACTTGAACTAATACACACCGTTTGAACTCATATTGAATCGACAAAGAAGTCTCAGTAAGATTAGAAAAAGCTTAAAAGGATTCATGTCTATGGGTTGAGTTTTGACTATTTTACTGGATTTTCGATTCCGTAGAACATCATGAAAGTTTCAACTGAAAACGATATTCATTTATCGAGATATTGAATTTCCGAAAAATGTTCGTTTATCACAGGCATGTCACAAATATCGAGTTTACTGAGAAATTCAATATCGCAACAAAAGAAAGAATATTCTTTTTGGCCAAAACTTTCAGGATATCCTAAGAGATCAAAAATTTAGTAAAACAATTAAAACTCGACTTCAGATGTCAATGGACATAAACTCATTTAAGCGTTCCCTAGAAAACCGTAATTTCTAGTGGCCCTACTTTCTGTCAGGTAATGTTTTTGCTCTGAAAGAATAAAAACACTTGCGCACTAATTTGAAGTGTTTTTTGCCAATTGATAGTTCGTTGACGGTTATACATTAGCTCGCGACCAATTGATCGATCGTCACGATAAATAACGAATCCTATTGATAACAAGACAAAATAGCAATCCTACTATGTTATATAGCACAATGAATAAAAACTCATTACAGTCCTCATCAGCTCAATATATCCTAAGCAAAATATATTGTACAATGGGAAAGATTACTTTTACTTAGGTTCGACTCGACTAACCGGAAAGTCGAAGATCAGTTCGATTCGTTTTTGGAGATCTGATATCCTAGTTAAAATCCAGGAAGGATTCAGATTCTAAATTATGTTCATAATTCTGAATTTTTTTTTTCGTTTGACATTGAATCATAAGAAGAATGAAATAAATAAATTGCAATTGGAAATATTTTTTTTATAATTAAATCTATTGAATGGGAAGGAATTATTCTAAAATTTTCAAACAGGATAAATCTAGATGTATAATTTTTTGTGAAATATCGATTTTACCTAGATTTTGAGGAAAATAGCCTATTTTTCAAAAGTTAAATATCTTTAGAAGAATAGTTATATTCATTGTGTATGAAAAATTGCATTAAATATTCACTAGATCCGAATGTCTACAAATCCAACAGTCAGAATCGTGATAGATCCAATCTAACTGTGCTAATTTAGCATAGTGATGGAAATAGTTGAAAACTATCCTAGCAACGATAAGTTAGCCTTATCTCTTCTAGGGCAGTGGTAGATTTCCAACAATGATGGATATTTATGATTATTAGTATTAAAGAAAAACTAGTAGACTATATGAATACGTTAGTTGAAACTCTCAACCTGAGTGTAGATGAACGAAATTTACTTCGACTTGTTCTACATACTACTTTTACACTTGTTTCGTGACATTAGATCTTTTAATAATGCATTTTTTAAACGAATACGAATCTTTTATCAACTCTAGGAATTATTGTAGAATCGACAAGAAAATAAAAAATTATTACATATAAATTATTAATCTATATATGTTTATAAAATATTTGTATTTTAGAACAACAATTTGATGGTTTTAAATTAATTATTCGTAATGATTTACTTCTTGCTATAATTGGTATAATATTAATGATTATATTAATAATATTATTTATTTGTTGTTGGTTATGTAAATCTCGTCAACGTCATAAAGATAATTTTCATCGACAAAATTCTCTTCGTCGTAGTGTTAAACAAGAAATAAATAAACAATCAACATTAACATTACAAAAAAGTAATGATAATACACTTATAAAAAGTTCAACATTATCAACATTAACAAATAGTACAACAAATAAATTATCATTATCAAGTCGTCCATTAAGTAGTGTAACAATAAATTCTGATAATGATATATCAACATCATCACCAGTTCATCATGATTTTTCAATATTAAAATTAAATCATAATATACCAAAAGCATCAACACCAGCATTAAGTGATGATAATGGTTCACAACGTGCACTTGTTCTTAATACACATACAGATCAATCAAGTGTTTATTCAACAGCTACAACAGATTCAGCAACATTATATCGAAGTCGTCGAAGATTTGAACGTATACAAACACCAACAGTACCACCATCAGCACCACCAGTTACACATCGACGTTCATTACGTAATTTACAACAAGATTCTACAGCAAGTGTATCAACAGGTTCAGTTTCTCCACCACCAGCATATGTATCACCAGCACATCAACCACGTCGTTATCGTTCTGATCAATTACAATTACTTACACCAAATCATAATAAAAAAACATATCCTTTTGGTACACAAATTGATTCATATTCACAAGCAAGTAGTCGTAGTAGTACAAGATATGAACTACCACCACCACCACTTGAAACTGATATTTAAAATAATGAATCTCTTAGTTTTGTTTTTGTGTTTTTTTTTTTAATAAATTCCGTTTTAATCTCAGGAACTTATGAGTACTTGCCATGAATATATGCATATAGATAATCATGTACAGCTCTATAATAATGAAATAATAATAAAATGAAGTATTTTTTTTTGATGTTGTTTTAGTAGTAATTATGTAACTTTTTTTTTTTTGTCTTTTCTATATTATCATGTTTGAATGTGCTATCTTTTTTTTTTCTTGACACCTGTACCGAATAAATAAGAACTAGATTTGAATGTATCTCTCTCATCAATATATAATTTTGTTTATCTAATGAAAAATCTATAGATGAAAGTTATCAGCTTTAGATAAGATAAAATTTAAAATTTATTCAAGTCGAATTTTTCACGAATCGATAAATGAAAAAACATAAAATCGAATCAGATTTAGTTATTTTTTAAATATTCTGAAAAATTATTGTAGTTAGAAATGAAATTTTTGAAATTAATCTCAGTCAAATGAAATCTTTATCGAATTTTATTATAAGTAATTATATTAAGATAAATAAACGTTATATTTAAATCTTGATATTAAAAAAATTTTAGATTTAAATTAAATAAATAATGACTTCAATGAACATTGATCTTGAACATGTTCAATTATTTCTTAACAAATATCAGACAGTTAGTATATGATTAATAAAATTAAAAAAAAATACTTTTTATTTTTTATTGTACAGGCTAATCATTCAATTGTTTTAGTAACATCAGGTGGTACTACAGTACCATTAGAAAAGAATACAGTTCGTTTTATTGATAATTTTAGTACTGGTCAACGTGGTGCAGCTTCTGCTGAATATTTTCTTGAACAAAATTATATTGTACTTTTTTTCTATCGTCTATCTTCAACATTACCGTATCAACGTCATATTAAAAATATATTTGATGAATCACAATCAAATACAAATTATAATCTTGATCAATATCATAAATATAAAAATTCACTTCTTTTAATACCTTTTCAAACAGTAACAGATTATTTGAATGGTCTTAAACAACTTTGTTATTTATTGAAACCATTCGGTCGATCAGTATTAATTTATCTATGTGCTGCTGTTTCAGATTATTATATACCAAATGATGAATTAACAGAACATAAAATTCCATCAGGTCAAAATGAATTAATTATTCGATTGAAACCTGTACCAAAATTATTAGGTTCTATTAAAGGAGAATATGCACTAGATGCTTTGATTGTTTCATTTAAATTAGAAACAGATGAAAAAATACTTGAAGAAAAATGTTTACAATCAGCAGATAAATATAATCAAGATATAATTATTGGAAATTTGTTAAAAACACGTAGAGATCAAGTTCGAATATTTGAACGAATGAAAAAACAATGGACAATAATTAATCGATTACAAGAAAATAATCAAGAAAAAGAAATTGAATTTCATATTATTGAATTTTTATGTAATAAACATCGAATTTATCAAATGAATACATAATAAATTATTTGAGAAATTTTAAAATATTCAGAAAAAAAAAGATCCATCTGATTTACTTTTATCGTTTATTTATATATGAAATATACATGAATTTCACGATCTACGCTCTTATTAATTATTTAAAAGCTTTCTTGTTTACCAAAAAATAAGCGAGTAGATAATATATAAATGTTAAATCTGAGAGGAAAAAAGCAAGGAAATAATGATTCAACTTTTTTTTTTGACATGTATTTATTTTATGAAAGTTTTCACTGAACCAAAATTCCCACCATGTGGTAAAATCGAAAGTCTTGTATAAAGGACGGAGCGCAAAAGTAATAGAATTTGGCTCACTAATCATTTATAGATAGTTCACTAGTAATTCTATGCAGACAAGCAGAACGAGGTTTTTGGTATCAAGTTTAATGAAAATTTTGGATATTGAAGGCTACTTTCAAGGATACTAGTCAGATACTACTTATTGACAATCTTGTAAGTTCAATTTGTTTTGATTAGAAAGAGCATGCAATTTTGCATTATTTCATATAATAACTATTATGTTTTTTATGAACTATTGAGAACAACAGTGACACTACTTTTCTCTACTCTTGCATAGAACATGATTTTTTAGCATGCCATTGAACATCAATTTCACTCGTTTGAAATTTTTGTTTTCATGTGAACTATTTTCTATTATATATCATTCGATAGAGAAATGAAACGGCTACAAAATGATATATAATTCACTTGATTTTGATTTAGGCCAAGACATCTGATGTACATACATTGCAATTGTCGGTCGGCACCAGAAGCTGCACTTTTTTGATCGATTTATTAAGACTAAACCGGCTTTTGACAATAAAGAATGATATATTTGAAATCAGCATCAAAAACTGAGGATGTGGGTGTTAAGGAAGAATATACCCACACCCACACCCACTCTTCTTTATGGATCACAGTCTGTGGTAGAATAGTAAGAGTTACCAGTATTGGTCACGGTCTGTGATGCTCTAGAACGATTTGTACCTTGCGACCTTTGACCTGTGTCGGGCATGGTCTTTGGAGGGAATGGGTCCAAATTTCCACTTCTATATACTTCAACACTCCGTTTAGATCGTATTTCACAAATCGTACTGCACTCTTTGTAAGTTTTGAAAATTCGTAAAATATCTTAGGATTCTAAAAGATGAAATTTTGAAAATTTTGACATGCAGATTTTAAGAGTTAGTACTAATTTGAGATTTGCTACTCCATGAAACATGTCGGAAAGAATCCGTTGTTAGGTATTTCACGTTAAAAGAATATTATATCGCGATTATTCATGTGTTATTCGAGATAATTTTATGAAGAATTGAATTGAAAATCTTTTGAGATCAAGTTCTAGTCACTCACCGAGTTATTGGATACTTACTCTATTTTTGTGAACGACAATCCACCGCGTACACAACCAACCACCACTCATATGATATTGGAAAATTCCACAACGTCTTTGACATTGGAATTCGTGTTCAATCAGTTACCTACAAATATTTTCATACGGTTGTAAAACTGTCCATTTTATTTCTCCTTCGCTTTTGATTCTCAATAAAACCTTCGAAGCGTCTGCGTTGCTCGATAGTTCATTTCCATTTCGATGCCGTTTATTTAAACACGCGATAGTTCTTCACTGCATGATGGGACAGTAGCGACGACAAAAGTCGCCGTACTTCTTTTTACTCTGGTGTTGTGTTTCTTTCTACTCTTATGTTCTGCTTCTTCCTATTCTTGTGTTCTGCTTCTTCCTAGAACATAATTTATTTTTCTTGCGCTTTTGCACCACGAGCTCGATAAAGTTCAAATGAATTTTTCACGGCAATTTAAAACAAAAAGTTACAAAATCTTGAAGCGTTTGTGGATCAAGTAAAGATTTACAACACATCGAATATCAGAAAAACAATCATCAATATAGTGAAAATTGTCCGAAAGTTTTCAACATTGAGTTCTAAGAAATCTTACAATATTGTTGTAATAAATGTAAGTGATTTCTTTTATTTTAATTTAATTCTATGATCATGTTCTCTCATAATGAGACTAGATATAACTTCAATCGGTTGATGCCAGTTTTAAGAGGTAAACATGATAGCAAATGGTTTATTGTCATTTTCCGTGATAAAGTCTTCATTCACTCATTGCTCGCGAGAGTTATATGAAAGAAGAAATTGATGTTAGCAAGGGGCTGAGACAATAAAACATATAAGAGAACTGCTTTGAAATAAAGCCTTAAAATGATTAGACCCAATATATTTACACAAATACCAAAACTTATTTCACAGCATCGTTGTGTAGTCGCTTCACATCGCTATCTTCATCATTTTAGTGATTATTTACCTATTTCAGTAATTATCTCAGCATAGCACTTTAATTTTTCTTGTGCACTCTGTACTCCTTGCATT